TCTATAGGCCACAGCAACGACTTACCGTCGGGTGGACTGTGTGCTCGTTTGTCACGCTTGTCCTATAAAAAAAATCTAAAAGAGCGTTAGCCCACGTAATTGCTCGCGCTTTCATTTAAAAAGGGCTTCTTTCATCATTCCACCAATAGGAAACCCGAATCTGATTAAAAAGCAATCTCATCCCTCTATAAATAGGCAGCCTTTCAGTTTTCTACAGAATCCATTTTGGAGAATGTGCGCCAGGAATTGTATAACTTAATTCCTTCCTCTCCCTTCCACTATTAGACAGCTATACGCTCGGCCAGACTGTACTCCATCGTTTTCGACCTACTACGATTTCAAACGAAATGGTTTGCTTTCATCGTTCGTCATGCGTACAGCAAAAGAGTGGAATAAATTGCCAGCATCAGTCTTTCCATCCGATAACAATGTGTCTTCAAGGCAAGAGCGAATAAGTTTTTGTTAAGCTGAGTGCGCTTTACAATCTTCGCTTGCATCAGCGCTTACCGTAAGGATAGCATTCAAGAACTGGCTTTGATTAAAGAAATCTCAATTAGTGATACGAATTTTCCGAGTAAAGTAGTGACTAGGCTAAACTGAATAACTACAATTCCCCTGGTGTCGCACTTGTTCATGGGCGGTGGTAGTCACTTACCATAAGGTGAGCCACATGCTCGTTTGTCCCTTCTTTATACATATAAGAAAAAAAAAACTGATCGAACCAGTATATATCTCGTAGACAGTCTAGTAAAATAAAGTTAAGAATCTGCACCCGGATGACCGGTTGGCTGATCGATATCGTAAAATTACCATTTTAATAAATTCTCGGCATTCTTCTTCAACTTCGTAAAATAATAATTTTATCGTTTTATGGAATAAAACTAATTTCACGGATTTTATCGCGTTTAATTTTAAACTTTGTTACCTAGGTACTTCTCGACTTTTCGGGCACTTCAGTCAGGGTGATTCGCGAGGATGTTGAGCCTCGCGAATTACCCTTGGTAGGAATCGGTGTTCGTTTGCCGGTTTAATTATATTGATAACTTTATTGCTGTAAAATTTAATTCAAATTAGTCCTAACATTAACGTTAATGACGTTGACAATTTTAAACGAACACGGCGAAATTAAAATATAACAAGATTCTTTAATTACCTTTAAAATGATTATGATTATGACGTAATATTTAGATTATTATCATGTAAGGTAGATTTGTTTTCACAGCGGTTTTATTGAAGTGTAAATCTTGTAAGTTAGAAGGTACATCAGATGTTCTACAAAAATGTTTTGTCGTAACATTTATTTATGATGTTTGCCTTAATTCATTCATTCTGGAGTTTTGGCGGGAACTTGACCGCCAGCGGATTGCTGCACATGTGTTATGTAATGGTTTGAAGTGGATTATGCAACGTGAAAGTGGTGCTATTTTGTGTATATAATGTCTGTGCATGCGAACTATTACTGATAACGATGAAACGTGTTTTCCGATCATGATGTGAAGCTCAAGATTATATTATATGTTATTAGGCACCGATGAGGATATTATCATCCTCATCGGCTGTCTGCTGATTCAAGCTACTGTAAAAATCTCCCAATAACTTCGTAATGTGACGCATTAACACATTGCGAAAAAGTTTTTAAACACATTTTGTAAGATATTTTTTTATTACCTGACACTGGCATAAGTACAATCGTACGAGTCTATTACCAAAGAAAAAATCATCCTATAAAATCCAGGATCTAATTGTTTAGGTTTATAGAGATATTAAGAATTTGTTTAGGTTTATAGCAGTGCTGGTTTGCACAACAACTTACACATTTTTTGGCGATTTGGTGATAAAATATGTTATTTAATATCTTATCACAAAATCTAATAGAAGTGATTGAAAATTACATATTGCTATTAAGTTTGTGAATATACAATGGACATAAAACTTACACGAAATTGTATAGTTCAAACATAGATTCCACTTCATATATTACGTTTGGGATGCTTAGTATATTTATTTTTATATTTATACTAGCTGGCCAGGCAGACGTTCTGCCCTTTCCGACGACCCTTCCTATGAAAAAATTCTTAAATTCTCCATAAAAAAATATAGAAGGCCACTTATCGGGATAAAAATTATCCCATCTCTCAAGTTGCTATAAAATTAAGCTTTTACTTTATATTTAATGCCGTACTTTTAGATGAAAGTGATCAGACAAAGTAAATCAATGAGGGCATCCACGACTTTTTCTGCCACCAGGGCGGCGCCACTTTACAGTGAGGTAAAATATTTGACAGATTTCATAGTGGGGCCGATAATTTCTTAGGAAAATGTAATCTTTAGGGTTTCTTTCTGTATATATATATATATATATATATATATATATATATATATATATATATATATATATATATATTCATTACATTAGAAATGAATAAACCAAACTATAAATATAAGTAACTTTTTTTTTAATTTATTATTAGATAAAAATTGTTACAATATTGCTATGCGGCACAGCGAAAAACCACGCAGGTTTGTGTTGCGTGCCGTTCCGTCTACATTTACAAAAATGGGGATAACAATTAATATTCGTTTAGAATTAATATTCAACTCGGCTGGGCAGCGTTCGGGAAGCTACGACACATCTTCTCGTCAGACATACCTCAAAACATTAAAACGAAGTTGTACAACCAGTGCGTGTTGCCAGTGATGACTTACGGAACTGAGACGTGGTCCTTCACTGCTGGCCGTATGAGGAAGCTCAAGGTCGCTCAGCGAGCTATGGAGAGGGCTATGCTCGGAGTTTCTCTGCGTGATAAACTTAGGAATGAGGATATCCGCAGTAGAAGTAGAGTAACCGACATAGCCCAACGGATTAGTAAGCTGAAGTGGCAGTGGGCCGCCATATAGCTCGAAGAACCGACAACCGATGGGGAAGAAAGGTTCTAGAGTGGCAGCCTCGTACCGGTAGGCGAAGTGTAGGGCGACCCCCCACGAGATGGAGTGACGACCTGGTAAGACATGCAGGAAGGCTCAGGACCGTGCTTTGTGGCATTCCTTGGGGGAGGCCTATGTTCAGCAGTGGACTTATGAAAGGCTGTAATGATGAAGGAAATAACATTTTAATTTATACTTTATGTTAACTTCATTAAGTTCACTTCTAAATTTATTATCCAGACCATTTATTGACCGAGGTATTATGTATGCGCTGGTGCGCTCACTATATTTATTTTTGGATGGTATTGTTATTAATTTGTTTTGAGTTACTTTGCGGGTCTGAATTTTGTTTGAGACTATATGTTGTATACCTAAATTAAAGAATTGTTCTTTTAACAATTGATATTGGACTTTATCATGGATATTGAGTACCTTGCAGTGTTTAAATATAAAGTTTTCATTTGTTTTTGCCTGGAGTTTAATTTTTATAGGTACAATCGCTTTTAAAATCCTAAGTTGTAGTTGATAAATATACTGTAGGTGTGATTTGTCTGTTCGTCCGTAGCTACTTAGCCCATAAGTTATGACTGTCATCAAGAGCGTTATAAAGCATCATTTTGACTCGAAAGTTTAATCGCTTTCTAATTATAAACATATTCACGAAAAATGTTCTAAGCTTATCACATACATGCTTTATATGCTCGTGCCAATTGAACTTATGGTCTACTACTAAGCCTAAATATGTATGTGATGTAACCAATTAAATCGTGGAACACTTACAATTAAGTTTGGGTTGGTGAAGGCAATTACGATTATGCGCAATGATTTTATGTTTTAATATGCTATGAGACTTTAAGTTTGGCGAGTGTATATTATGTACTAATTTCGTCTTTTGAGAATTTAATATCAAACCGTTGTCATGGCGCCATTTATTTAATGAATCAAAATCATCCTGTAACAAAGCAGTGCGTCATTGACATCCTTAGCAGCCACAAGCATACACGTATCATCAGCGTATTGATAGTTAGTACAATATCTAAAGATCTTATTCATGTCATTGACATAATGACATAGGCTATAAAATGCAATGGTCCAATTACGGAACCTTGAGCTGTGCCTTCGGCTACTTTGACTGATGTGCTGTAGCTTTCACAAATTTTAACACGGTAGCTTCTATTGGTCAGATAGTTTTTACACCAATTTAAAAGAGGTCCACGTATTTTCTAACTTCCTAATCAGCTTATTATGATCTAATGTATCAAAGGCGCGAGAAAAATCAATAAATAGGGCTAGAACATGTAGTTTCTGATTCATCCATGAATTAACTTGATCTGTGAATTCCAATAATAACATTGCAGTGTTCTTAACAGGTCTGAAACCGAATTGGCTAGAGAGCATAAAATATTACTTTTTTGATAAAACTAAAATTTTTTAAAGAGTTATAAAGTGCAAAAAATTAAAAATCAACCACTGACGTATTGTGTTGTGTATTAATATAATACTTTAGATAATGATAAACTATTATTGAAAACTAACTTCTCAATTAAGTGACACTGTGTAACAAAAAACTTTACCTCAGTCACAACTAGCGACATCTGGTGAGTGGAAGATTAGCCCTCATTGCCGTGAAATATTTTTATTTTTTATATTTAATTTCATTTGAAGGTTTCACTTCTATCGCGTGTGTACTGCACACACGTTTTTTTAAAATTAGTGAAACTATTTTTTCCTAAACATTGGCCGTGTAGTGGCGGCGTAAAAGTCATCCCTTAAGTGTCACTATCATTCTGATAACAATTCAAAAAAGTGCCGTTGCAAACCCGCCTGCTAAGCGTGGCACCATGGCATATATGGAGGATACTAGCAGGCAATTTATCGGAGAGGCTTATGTTCAGCAGTGGTCTGTTGTTAGTCTGTAATGTCCCTAGCCATTATAAATCCATACAATCGCTGAACACACTCCAAGTATTCTTAACGATGTATCAATAGATGTCAATTTCTCTAAAAAATGTCCTGAATGATTCTGTTAGCATTATTGTATAAAAATGTGTGGTGGGTGGCGTGTCGTGGCGCAGTGAAGGCGACGACGCCGCTGTGGACGGCGGCGCTGGCGCGCGTGCTGCTGGGCGAGCGGCAGCCGCGCGGCGTGCAGGTGGCGCTGCTGCTGATTGCGCTGGGCGTGGCCGTGGCCTCGGCCACCGAGCTGCAGTTCCACGCGCTGGGGCTGGCCGCCGCGCTGGCCTCCGCCGCGCTGCTCAGCCTGCAGCACATCTTCTCCAAGCGCGTCATGCGCGACACCGGCGTGCACCACCTGCGCCTGCTGCAGGTACGCTACTGCACCTCCACTATACCGTCATTGTATCTCTACTGTACCTCCATCATAGACATAGCCCATGACCATCACTGCGCTCACTGACACACACTACGCACGACCGCACAGCATTATCTTTGTATCAGCCATCCTAATGATCGTTTAGTTTACAAAACCAACGTGAGTGTTTCAACGACTCCATCCTAAACGCTATTGATACTAAATCCTCATTGATACCTTCCGCCGCGGTGGCAACGAAGAGGTTATACCGGTCTCCTACCGGCTAAAACCCCACGGAGGTCTCCATCAGCGTATACTAGGTGTCCGGAATATCCGTTCAGAACGCAACTGGAGCTTGGCTTTATTGAAAATCCATGTGCAACACTGTACTGACTGAAAAACACTATGCACGACGTTATTCTTGAATTAAGATGGAATGTCACGTTTTACTAAATAGGGTTTTCGGTTCTCTACATTCGACATATGAAACACAACAAACATAGCATTAATCTGCTATTTTACGCTGGTTTTCTGTGAGAACGTGGTCCTTTTCTGGTTGAGTCGACACATTCGTGCTTCAACTTTAGTGTAGCTGCAGCATGGCTATATTACGTATAATAATGAAATATAAAAATTGGTTTATGAAGCACATACATATTATGTTCATGCAGGTGTGTTAGGACATTGCTTTGTGGCTTTTCTGGGGGAGGATAATGTACACCAGTGGACTTGGAAAGGCTATAATGATGATGATAAGAGATGGAAATAAAAACTTAATTTAATTGAATGAAAATTATAAATAATTTATTTTGATATTGAAAGTGAGTCGAAATGAGTCAAACGTAAGAGTACGTTTGACTCATTCCCTGTCCCATGAGCCATATTGTTATTGTCTTACTATTGTGTCTGGAAACGGATAGTGAATGTGTTAATTTACCATTGTTCAGAACCATGTAGTGGAGGCATAAGAATATCCAAATCATTCCGTGGGTGTCGGTAAGAGGTGACAGAGGGAAACTGAAGCAGGTGATGGGCAGCAGCATTTTTTGATATCAATTCAAAATAATAATAAGAAACTGCGGTTGTTAATCCGCCTGCCATGCGTGGCAATACTATGACAAAACCCCTCTATTAGGTAATTTATGGGGGAAGCCTATGTTCAGCAGTGAACTTTTATAGTCTGTAGTGGATAATTGAATGGATGTTTCCGAAAATGTCTCTGTCGTGGGTCCTGTCTGAACGGTACGGGGTGTGCGGTGCGCAGAAGCTGGGCGGGCTGGCGCTGGTGCTGCTGCTGCCGGTGTGGGCGGTGTGCGAGGCGCGCGGGGCGGCGGGGAGCGCGTGGGGTGGGGCGGGCGGGGCGGGCGGGGCGCGGCTGGCGGCGGACGGCGCGCTGGCCTGGCTGCAGGCGCTGGCGGCGTTCAGCGTGCTGTCGCGCGTGTCGCCGCTGGCGTACGCCGTGGCGTCGGCGGCCAAGCGCGCGGCCGTGGTGGGCGCGTCGCTGCTGCTGCTGCGCAACCCCGCGCCGCCGCTCAACCTGGCCGGCATGGCGCTGGCGGCGCTCGGCGTGCTCGCCTACAACCGCGCCAAGCTGCAGGCGCGCACGCACTCGCCGCACGCCCGCCCGCTGCTGCCCGTGTGACGCGACCCTACTACCTAGCACAATTTTTAAATTAAACTAACAATTTTGTAATTTGCATAAACAATTATACAAGTTTCATAATATTTATTTTAAATGATTAATATACTTATTATAAATCCTACCCATTTCGCCTCACATCATCATGCTTATACACTATGATAATGCTTTAACCATAAAAGAAAAAGGAAAATCTCCCGCCGGGCAAGGTGTACAGCCCGGGGAACGGTCAACGTTCAATGTATTATATCGGAACTGTTCTATATATACCGCGTTAACTTCAGAACTTTTATAGCGCGATTTAGGCTTCGGTGCGTTTCGTTTACGGCGCGACGACAGCGCCGCCAAATCAGCAGTCTAAATGTCGACGACTATGCAAATGCCAAGGAATTGCCTTGTAGTCTGCGGTGGGTCGAGAGTCGAGAGAGAAGCCAAGTAATCTGTGAGAGTGCCGTGGAGCACAGGCGAGCAGGAAGGCTTAGAGCCATGAACACTGTAGCAAAGAGAGTAGTTTGAAAGAACACAAAGCATTAATACAGTGCTGCGATGAAGCTTGTAAAGCTAGATGGCTCGCAGAATGTGAAGACTGCAGACAATATCAACTCGGGAGTGAATGGATGGGGTACTTGATGACGATAACGAAAGTCTGAATTAAAGATTTCCAAAAATTACTTCTTGCGTGTTTCCGAAGCTCTTCTATATATAGCACGTTAAGTTCAGAATTTTGATAGCGGGATTTAGGCTTCAGTGAGTTTCGCTTACGGCGAGACGACAGCATTGCCACAATGCCATGAGGCGAAACCGGTCGGTTTTTATAATTTGTATATTAATAATTTAAAATAAATATTGTAAAATTGGAGTTTCACCAAGTGAACACAATCAATAGTATAAATTATAAACCACAATTAATTAATTATTCCATATTGTACTACATCGAATGGACATCCTGATAGTTGATTTGTACCACGCCAGGAGCGCGGGAGAATTATAGTGGCATACACACAGGCACCGGTATGTCCTTCTCCAATATAATATCCTCCACAGAGATAAGCCATCCACCTGAGACAGAATGCAGTATAGTATATATTAACATACACGAACACCAACAATATATACAAATATAGATTTACATCGATATTAGAAACTAGGACCCGGAAACAAATGCAATGCAAAATAAACTAATAAAATATTAGTAAACCTATCAGCAAACTTCTATGTATACTACTAGACAGGCTCTGCGGCCTTAATACATTACGCAGTAGGGATGGGCAAGGGAAAAAAATATATCGATATATATCGAATCAATATTTTTAAACAGTATCGATATATATCGCGTGATAAATATAGATATATCGTCATCATTTGCATGATGTAAAGATAAGGTCCAAAATTTTATTAAAAAACGATACATTTTAAAATATATCGAAATTGATACGAATTCAATACTCTAAAATAAATATCGATATATCGATAGATTTCGATTTAAAATATAGACGATATATATCGATATTTTAATTAAAAACTATCGATATTTCGATATATCGATATTTTTTGCCCAAGCCTATTATGCAGTCGACTGCCAGCGGGAGAGAAGACTAGTACTTTGTTTTGTAAACCGCGACCATTTTTGCGACAATCTAACAATGATTTCGTTTAATGTGAATAAGAAAACGATTTCGTTATTTATGTGCTCTCTTTGTCAACATAATTTAAAGTTTATTTCACATAGATATGTTGTAATTTTATTTCATATTTGCCTAAAAACAGTAACTGTTGTAAATGAAAATACAACTGCGTGGTATATTTACCGTGCCAGCTACTCGCCCGCGCCTGCTCCCGTTCGATCCACAGGTGAGACACAGTTATTGTTCTGAATTCACGGTCTAGTAGTATAATATATAGAATTATTTGCCTATCAGAACGTTCGTGCGACCGTTTGCAAAATAATGAAATTTTAAACGACAAGCCGCTTCCTGTTAGAATGAATATATTAACGCTAAGTTAAGTAAGTGTTAACTGGCGGCCTAGCCGCAAAAAGTGCGAATTTATTGTAATTGATAAGTATTTTTGAATATATATTTTTGTTAAGTTATTGTTTTATTTCCCCACTTTCCAAGTATATCGCTTAATGTAAATATTTAATACCAGTAAGCGAAATACGATACTAAGTACTTACTTTACTTTTACCGGTAAGCAAAGTGTAGAGCGGCCTCCACTAAATGAACTGGTTACGATTTGGTAAGACATACAAGATGTCGATGTATGCAAGTGCCTCGGGACCGTACTTTGGGTAATTCCTTGGGGGAGGCCTATGTGTATGTTCAACACTGGTCTTGTGATGTATTGTAGTAAACTCAGGTTTAAAAACAAAGACATTTAAGTAGTAGTAATAGACCGGACATCAGTAACAAAATGGTCACCTTTTATTTATGCCCTATAGGATATATTTCGGATTTGTGTCATTTTGTCTTATGGTGTGTGGACACACGGTCAGTTAAACTGACATCAGGTCAACTGATAATTTCAAACGGATTTAATCCAAAACAAGTTTGACACATACGGTCAGTTCAACTGATCAGCCTAACTGATCAGTTCAAACTAGGACTGTAGATATTTTTAAAATATCGGATTTTCAATATATCGATACTTATAAATAGGTATATCAATATCGGAGTTTTATATATCGAAAACATAAGCGATGCTTATTGCTTAAAAATGATTTACAGTTTATAATTTAGTATATTTATTATTTAGGATCTGAGACGTGGTCCTTAACTGCTTTCTGTATGAGGAAGCTCAAGGTCGCTCAGTGAGCTATAGAGATGGCTATGCTTGGGGTTTCTCTGCGTGATAAACTTAGAAATGAGGATATCCGCAATAAAACCAGAGTAACCGACATAGCCCAACGGATTAGTAAGCTTAAGTGGCAGTGGGCCGACCATATAGCTCGAAGAACCGACAACCGATGGGAAAGGTTCTCGAGTGGCAGCCTCGTACCGGTAGGCGAAGTGTAGGGCGACCCCCACTAGATGGAGTGACGACCTGGTAAGACATGCAGGAAGTCGATGGATGCAGGTGGCTCAGGACCGTGCTTTGTGCCATTCCTTGGGGGAGGCCTATGTTCAGCAGTGGACTTATGAAAGGTTGTAATGATGATGATGATATTTATTAAACAAATTGAATTATAAATGTATGAAAATGTTAGGTTATAGTTCTTAGTAATTATTAATGAGCTGTGGTAGCTCAGATGGTTAGGGCTCGCTTTAATTTCACAGTACGCGAGTAACCCTGGTTCCAATGAAATTGTTAATTGCAATTTTAAGTGCTGATTTACCACGTGCTCGGCGATGAAGGAAAACATCGTGAGGAAACCTGCATGTCTGAGAAATAAAATAAAAATTTCCAAAACGTGAAGTTCGCCAACACGCATTGGGGCAGCACGGCGAACGTTACCTTGCCCTAAAACCCTCTCAGAAATGAGGAGAGGACTGTCCCCAGCATTGGGACGTATATAGGCTGTATTTTTTTATTTTAAAAAAACCAACAGCGATTTAACAATTTTAAGAACTTAAAGTAGGTATACAGCTTAAATGTAAGGCCTATTAATGGCTTTTCAGTTTATAAACAAAATATATTATGGACAGTACAATTTAACTATTCTTTGGATTTATTATAATACGTATGTACTAATCTAATTATATATATTGTCTGAAAGCGACAATTAAAAAAAAAAGAACCTAACCTAACATCAACGAAACAACAAAAATAGAACAAAAAAACGAATAATTTATTTAAAATTTAAAAAGGTATTTACAGTTTTATATAAAAAATGAAGTATGATGATGATGATGGGTGACGTGAATTACAAGTATTTAAAAAAAAGATAATAAAGATAAATGAGTACTGAAGCGGAGCCCGAAGACCAAAGTGGCACACCGCGCTTGGCGGTGGTGCTCACTGCTCACGGAGTATAATCAGGCTGTGCCTGTGGTAGGTGCGCAGCGCCTGGTCTAGGCACACGCAGCACCTGGAGTAGGCACACGCAGCGCTTGGAGTAGGCACACGCAGCGCCTGGAGTAGGTACACGCAGCGCCTGGAGTAGGCACACGCAGCGCCTGGAGTAGGCACACGCAGAGCCTGGAGTAAACACACGCAGCGCCTGGAGTAGGTACACACAGCGCCGGGAGTAGGCACACGCAATGCCCGGAGTAAGCACACGCAGCGCCTTGAGTAGGCGCTCTCAGCGCCTGGAGTAAGCGCGCACAGCGGCTAAAGATAGCGCGGGCACTAGTAGGTGGAGGCGTGGGCGTGGCTAGGCGACGACTTAAGGTGAAGGCAGAGATGCTTGAAGTTTGAAAGCTGAAGCGAGACTGAGTTTATTGGCCGATTGTTCGGCTTTTATACCTTTTTAGAGAGTTCCGCGCTCGACGGGAAATTATTTAAATTAAAAGCAAATTTTTGTAAATGGCCAAGAAGAAAATAGTATTTTTGTGGAAGTATTGAAGTAAAAACATCAGACCGGTAACGAATTTGAATAAAAATTGCCATGACAACCAGATAAACAACGATGTCAAAACATGTCAAATTTTGGTTTCAGGCTCGTAATAGAGAAACGGCAAGATTTAAGTGAAAAATGAGATATTATTGATATAGGAAAAAAGGTAGCGCACCAGCGCGCACGAAGCCCGAAATTGCAGAGTTACGGAGAACTAAATAAAAGATCGAAAAAGGTAGACTCCATCGACACCGATTTAAAAAGTGCTGATAGCGTGAAAATACGAAGTGAAAATGATTTGTTATTGTGTTCTTATGGTTTAAAAATGTTACAGGATCCTATGGAAATAAAGGTGAAACAAAATATCCAGTTTTGAGGTGAATGCAGAAAATCAAAACAGAATGGAAAAATGAATTTAAAATAGTGTAAAATGATATGTAAGTAGCATAACACTACAATATATTATGTTCCCAGATATGTAACTAAATGTTTATACTAATTACAATTT